AGTAACATATTCCCTCTTCTTTGCGAAGGTGGTGCTTGGGGTGGTGGTGGAACTTGCTTCTCTGGTCCTGAAATTTATTTGGGTGTGGGGAGGGGAGGGTGGCAGACCAGAGTAGTCAAGCAGCATTTATAAAAATGGATAATATAAGATTCTCTCTGCCAGACAAATCTATCATGAGTCTAGAATAATTGAAATATAGCACTGAAAAAGTATAGCCAGACAAATGAGGAAATCAGACTCAAAAGCCCAGAACTTCTGAGTGAAGAGGTGACGTCAGTGCAAATGAATGACTTAAAATTCTGACAAAGGAATGCAAAAATAGATTTGAAAAAAAAAAAACTTTGGTTCTGGAAGCTAACGGAGACTGACAGCTGAGTGTCAGAATCATAAAGGAACACACTAGGATGAAGTGGAAAAGGCACCAAGAATTCACTTGCCTTCATCACCCAGAGATGACCATATGGCCTCACAGGACGTGAAGCGGAAACCCCACAAATACCTGGCATGTGTAGGTGGCTAGAACTGAGAGTGGAGGCAGGGACCAAAATGCAACCCTCCCCTCAGTTTTTTTGTAGACACAGTGGGTCAGTGAAGGTTTGCCAGCAGGTCCGGGGCCACAAATGGCCACAGCAAGCTGAACACAGGGAAACAGGTGCTGCTCAGCAAAGCCCAAAAAGACGGACAGGGAAGGAGGCCAGGCACTCACTGAGGACAGCTGTGCCCAGAGGCAAAGGCTGCTTCACCCAAGCACAAGCTGCTTCCAGGCATGTGGGGCCCCTCCCATGTGCAGGAGGGAGTAGCCACAGAAAGACATGGGGGTCATTCATGCTCCACCTCTGGCATTGGAGCTTTGCCAGACCTGGAGAGGAACCCACCCAGGGACAGATCACACTGTGAAGATCCTCCTGGTCCTGGCTCTCTGGCCACTCTCTTCAGGCACGGAGCATCGCACTGGCCGCCAAGCCACCACCTTCCCTGGAGAGAAGCACAGCAGCTTCAGGGTGAGAAAAGTGGTGGGGCCAAGGGCAGCAGGCGAGCCAGCCACTTGCTAGCAAGAAGAGAATTGGAACAACCTTCAGGGAAGCTGTTTGCCTTCCCACCACAACCCTTTGAATCTGACACTTCAAACGGGACAATTCCGCTTCTAGGAGGTCATCCATCCTATAGTAATATTGGGGGTGTGGGCTGATATTAACTACCAAGAGTGCCCATTGCTGTTTTTTCATAGTAAAATATTGGAAACAAACTAAATATCCAATAATGGGCATTTGGTTTAATAACTTATAGAATAACGAAAAAATAAGATACTATGCAGCTACTAAAATAGTATGTTTTGAATGGTATTAAATAACATGGGAGTATATCTGTGATCTATAACTAATGATAGAAAGCAGCTAGTGAAGGAAAACATAATATGATCCCACATAAATGTAGAAAAAAGGGCCTCAAGGACACACATCCCGTATTGAGAATAGTTATCTCTAGTTTGGCAATAGTATTTTTTTCTGGACGCTTTTCTATATTTCACAATGTTTCTTCCTTGAATACATACTGATCTGCTTTCTCCTCCCTTTATACTCTTTCTCCCCTCCCCCCTCACCCCCCCATACCCCCACTTCCCTTAGAGTGTTACACTCTAAGAGAACAGCTCAGCTCAATCCTCTGGCTTAGTAGTTTGTTTTTAACTCTATTACTTCTGATATTCAGTTATCCATTTGAATTTGTTTATTCTAATGAACTAAGTTTTACATTGATCTGTGGCTTTTATTTTTAAAAATTTTAGAAAACACATAAATTAAAATTTACCATCTTAACCTTTAAAAAAATTTTTTTAAACATTTTAGTTAGAATGTGTTTCTAACTAAATATGAATACAGTAGGCAACAGACTTTTTCTATTTCAAAAAATATTATAGTTAATGCCATTACACTTTTAACATGCTAACAACAGTTTTGGATGGAGTAGTTCCTTTAAAAGCCATTCATCATTCACTCACGCTCATTGAAGAGCACAGTGTATATGCTGGTTTGCAAATAGATACCTAAGAAACTTAATGCTAAACCCATTTTAACTGCAAACCAAACACAAATTTCAACACTTTCCACTCACTCTACTGCAAACTTAACTTTAATTCAAGTCTCAAACCAAACATTAGAGTCAAACATGGTGGTTGTACAAGAGCTACTTCTCCTTCTGACCATAATATTCATTCATATCTTTAACTTAAACTAAATTATAAAGCCAAGTATAACTGCAATTCTAATGTTACAACAAGCAAAAACACTAAAATTCTAACTCATTAGGTAATTCTAGGTCTGGCTTAAAGCTTCAACCTAAGACTAACACAATCTAAAAGTTTATCTATCTATAAACATTCTCATGTCCAGAACTAACCTGAATTTTAACCTCAACTCAATTCTATTCTCTAACATTAGGCTAATCCTAAGTCTGTCTTAAACTGAAAGATACCATGAAATTCATCATACTTTATGAAGATGCTAGCAGATATCTTTTAAAATAATGGGTTTTTTTTTACATCTGCATTCACAAATGTTCATTACATAATTAGAAGTGTTTGATTTAGGGGTTATAGCTTCTGCTGAAGAGTTTGCCATCTTAATCATTTTTTAAATGTACAACATAATGGCATTGAAAACATTCACCTTGTGTGACGACCATCACCACCCACCTTCAGAGCTCTTTCCATCTTGCAAAACTGAAACTCAGCACCAATGAGAAAATACTCCCCATCCCACCACCACCCCCATCCCTCACTCCCTGGCAACCACCACTCTACTTTCTGTCCCTATGAATCTGACTAATCTAGGTACCCCATATAAGTGGGGTCATATAGGATTTGTCCTTTTGTGTCTGCTTTATTTCACTTAGCATAATGTCCTTCAAGTTTTGTCTATGTTGTAGCATGTGTCAGAATTTCCTTATTTTTTAAGGCTGATATTCTGTGGTATATACAAGGTGGGCAAAAGTAGGTTTACAATTGTGAGTAAACAAAGCAGAGTTTATTCTCATATTACTAATTCATTGATTATGTAAATCTACTCTTGCCCACCCTTGTATATACCATATTTTGCTTAGCCAGTCATCTGCAGACAGACCCTTGGGTTATTTCAGTCTTTCAGTTATTGTGAATAAGGAACATGGACATACAAGTCTCTGCTTTCACTTCTTTTGGATATATACTCAGAAGTGGGAATGTTGGATTGTGTGGTAGTTCTATTTTTAATTTTTTTTGAGGTATGCCATACTATTTTTCACAGTGGCTATACCTTTCTACATTCCCACTAGTAGTGCACATGCATTCCAATTCCTCCACAGCCTCTCCAACACCTGTTGCTTTTTGTACACATATAGTAGCCATCCTAACATGTGTGAAGTGGTATGGTTTAGTTTAATTTTAATTAATGAATATTCTTTTGCTTGTCTTCAAGAAAGGGCTGTTGCATTTGTTCACACTGTAACCTTGAGTGTATGTTCTTTCATAGTTAAGTTTGGAGTCTTTCCTTCATGGTGCTGACATGTCTCCCAGGCTAGGTCATTCTCAGTGGTACCCTCCCAATGTGCCCTCATGGGTTTCTGTTAGACTGAGTGATGCACAGGTGAGCCCAGCCTACAGGGAAAAGATGTGTTGCTGACACTTGTATTTTGATCTGATTCTAGGGATTGTCAGAGAGGTACAGGATGGCTAGTAGCTAGCTTCAGACAATGAAGGATTCTGAACTCTCTTGGGTATCGCTAACAATCTGAACAATCCTGTGGTCTCCCAAGATGCCATTTTGTGTTTGCACCTGCAGAGAGACAGTCTCATGCCCATAACCAGTGCCTAGTCCACTGTGAGGAGGACATGGTAGAGACTGACCTCCTGCTTTGGTACCCAAACCAATAACCCTGTGTAGACTGAGCCTTAGGCCCCCTTCTGTTCCTGGGCAAAAAGGATTCTTGGCACAGCTTTCAATTAGTTACCCTTGTATGTCTTCGGAGGTATTTTTTAAATTCAATCCCACGTTCCTTTTATGCCTCATAGATTATAGTTTTGAGCCTCTGAGAAATCCCCTTCTTTTCCAGTGTAGGTAACTTACACCCAGAATCTCCCTGAGAAAATGGAATATCTGTAAGAAAGAAAATAGATATTGAAAGACAGAATGTGTTTGGGATAGAGGGGTAAGAGGAAAGAGAAAAATCTCAAACAATACACTCATATATATACACATACACTCATTATATATATACTACTTATATGTATACATGTATACGATATAATCTATTTGTGCTATGGATAGTAACATAAATATTTATAAAATAGAGTATAGTTTGGACAATTCACAATGTTGTATTTTCTCTAAGCAAAGCATGATTCCAGTAGCACTTCTTTGAATTTATAAATGGATTCCAGAGTCTCAATGATATCATTCATAAATGACTGACTTTGTTCCAAGCACTCTGCTAAGCCACCTGCATAGGTTGTCTTTTCAAACTTCGTGGCAACACTATATGCAGGCATTGTTCTCACTTGCAAATGAGGAAATCAAAAGTCAGAGAGGTCTTACCTAGGGTTTCTCACCTGTGAATGGGCTAGGGATGGAATGTAAACCCATGTGAGATTCCAAAGCCTATGCTTTCTTTACTCTGTCCTCCCTCCTGAAATTACAGGACAATTCCAGGAAGAACTTGATGGTATTTATCTTCCAAGTGGCATAGTGGGGACAGAGGGAGCATGGTGCTGTGAAAATAACATTCACTTCAAAGAGGAGACAAGTGTCCTCATTCTAGGTTGTTACCAACTTCCTGAAACACCCTGCAACTCTCTCAGCTCCTCTTCTCCTTCTTTCTCTATGTCTGTAACAGAGATAAAAAGATGCACAAACTTTCACAACTGCTCTGGAGATAAAATGAGAAGAGCTTTGCAAAAAAAGTATGATGTAAATATAAGTGGTTATGATCACATTTGGCCCAGCTCACAAACTAACACTTCTTTTTCTAAGTTTTGCAGTTACGACTTCAACAGAGAAGGACCCAAGAACAACTGGCCAACCAAGGCATAATACCATGTGAGTAGCTGCATGTCCTATTTATTGATTTACTACAATGGGACTGTGGGTGTTGGGAACTAGAAAGCACCTCAGAGGTCATTTAGACTAAGCCCATGGATCTTCATATAATCCGTGTCATCAGAAATCCCCAATTTTGGATGCTTTGGCCCAAATGCTCCTCACCCACAGGGGGTTGATTCCCTAAAATTTCACATTGTGGGAGGTTTGATTTCAGTGTAAGCACAATTCACTATAGGCATCCCTCACCCTTTTCTTACTTTTAAAATTGGATATAATCACTATTCTTTCCAGAAGCATTAATCATATCACCTTTTCCCGCTTCCTAGGTTTCACTTCTATTTGGGATACTTGTATCCACAATTAATTGAATATTGCCAAGTGCTTCCTTTCTAGATTACTGAATAGTAATGCCATTCTAGCATAAATGGTATAATATTAAATAACTGGCCATAATGTGGGTCAAAGAATAAAGATTATCAAACCTTTTAGATCTATTTGATATTTTCTACCAATTTAGCAATTAAAGTTCACTTTTTAAAAAAGAAATAGAAATAGCAAAAAGAGTGCTCTGGATGAATGAAGCACAATTTAAGTTTATTTAGATAATAGTTTCTAACTTTCTCCAACAAAATTTAAAATTTAAGATTCATAATGACTTGCAGAAATCCAGGTCCCTGTTACAGTTAGTACTTTAGAGTTTGGTATGAAACAAGTAGAAATGTGTTCCTGAAAAAATGTCCTGCAGTTAGTAATATCAGAGTTCCATGATTTAAGGTCTAAAATTTTTAAGTATAATTCCGTGATTCAGAGCCAAAACACAACTAAGAATTTTTCAGGACTTTTCCTTTGTTTTTCAAAAGCAGCTCTGTGTTAATGGCTAAACCCTACAAACAGCAAACAGCAAGTGAGCTTATAGTGGAACAACCTTTTTAGAAGTTTGCTAAACACAAAAGAAACAGCTCACCCTGCTATTATTTCAAAGCTGTTTAAACAACGTGTACAACTATGATGAGAAAGCACAGGAGCTCCCTCCTGTGTGCGGCCTGCTCGTGGTGGTCAGACAGCCTGTGCCCATGCTCAGGATGGAGGAGAGACAGAGGTCTGTAGGCTTCACACAAATTCCACCCAACTTCACTCAACTCTGACAAGGCCAGTTTTTAGGAATCCTACCTTAGTGGCAGGATTTATTCACTAAGATTGTAGACAAACATAGATGCACTAGGATCCTTTCAGCAGACCATAATCTATACTATGTGCCCTTAAATAGGTGAGGAGCCACAGCTTTGAATATTATTAAAATAATCTATCCCCTCACTGGTTTTCTTTGTCTTAATTCTAGAAAGGCAAATGAAGGGGATAGACCAGGACCTTCAAGTCAGCTCCAACTGTTGACAGCTGACCTAGAGTTCCACCCATGTGCTTAAGTCCTCTGAGTCTGGGTCTTACAGCTGGCATTAGGATGAGAATAAACTTTTTTTTTTTTTGAGGGGGGGTTGAGGTTAATAAGATTAAATCTCTAGAAATTGGTAAAAATACATAATAAGATAGGAATTAACCCTATGCTACACTTTAAAATAACACCTATATGTCAGTTGGGAAAGCCAATGTCCATTTGTGTAGTAGGGTCCAATGAGAATAGAATAGTTTGTTCCCCAGGACTTTTGGAATTAGATAGTGTGCAAATTAACAAAATACTGCTTGACAGAAATTTTATATGCATAGTCTATTGTATCATTAAAATAATTACTGGAAAAAGTCCTATGAGTAAGGAAATGGTTTTTTTTTTCTTTTTAGTTCAGCAAAATGATAAAAGTTAATTAAACATCAGTTTTCCATAGTCTTCAGCCACCTGCTCTCAACCAGGCTTTCCCAGGGTGTAGATTCTCTGGGAAAATGTCCCAGCCACAGCAGGCGCATGCCACAGGCCCAGCCTGGAGAAACCTTGACTACTGAGTTCTTCTCAGGAAGCTGGACCCAGAAGAATCTCCGCCTGCCAAGAGGTGGGGGTGAAGAGGAGAGGGCTGGCCTCTTCAACCCAAGCGGAGATTAACAGGAAAGTTAACTCAGGGCAGGGCAGGGCAGGGCAGGGCAGGCAGCGTGTTTACTTAGGCCCTAAGGGTATCTGTGTCAGCCCTCAGAGGGGAAAGGAATGAGGATCTAACAGTCTCAGGGGCTTTCCAACTTAGTTGAATTCAACCCATTTCAAGCACGATTCTCTGCAGGACAGGGTGCCAGGCACTATAGGCACAAGAGTGAGCAAGACAGCCCTTCAGGGAAACACAAAATTCCAGGAGAAAGGGTGACAAGAAATACTCATATGAGTCCAGGTGGAACTCGTTACATTCACAAGAGGGCATCTTGTTTCTTCACTCTTTTATTTGAATTTTTTGAAACACAACAAAAGAGATAAGGTGGAAGGAAAAGAATAGAATGGAGGGAAGAAAAGCTGATAATCCTTAGAGGTCATCTAATTCTGTGATTTTCAACATTTTGAATTGTTATAGACATATTGTGTATGCATATACTGCCTGAAAGAAGGTGGGGGCCTCCGCCCCACTTACTCAGCACCCCCATCCCTTCTAGATGCCCCCAGTTGTCTTCCCCAGAGAGCTGGTTCTCTTCAGAACAGTATTTGAAAACCTCTGACCTAGTCCACACCCCCAGTCATTGTCTTTCATGTTTGTAAAACTGAGGTTGAGTAGGCCCAAGACATATTTCAAATGTTCCAAAGCCCAGACATAATGTGGTTCTAATTTCTGCAAATTAGACCTGTGACAATTTAAGTGTGTGCACAACAAAATTATTAATCAAATTTTCACTTTATCAATGAATTTTTAAATATTTGCAATCTTCACCCAAATTTTAAAACATCACAAATTGCCAAAAGTGAAAGTTGATAGCCAAGTGAACTGTTAGTTGTTCTTAATGTTATTATTATATAGCACTACTGCTTTTAGCTGGTCAACAAACACACCGGTATCATTGGGCAGAATTAGTCTTGAGTTTTATATTAGGTTACATCTCAAGGGCCTGTCCACTGTGAAAATGCACCCTTCCTATTGTGCACAGTGGAAGAGCTGAGGCCAGAACCTGTCTTCTGATCTCTACACAGCACTCTTTTCTCAAATATTCAAAAGGAATCACTTGAACTTTTATAGTGCTTACTTAAGTTTCTACCATAAAACATTTTGTGGCATTTTATGGCCCAAGATTTTATATGTATATATCAGATATATATATATCATGACAAGAATAAACCAATGTTTTTTGAAATGGCTTCAGGTTCTACATCATAATCTATACCTCACTATTACCAAATAGAATGGAAAGTTCCACTGACTTACCTATATCGCAGATCTCAATTCAATTGCATGCCAAATCAATGGTTAAACTGTTAAGGTTCCCCCCACACCCCTGACTCCAGTGAACTAAATAAACCATATGTCGTTTTCAGTTGACTAGTGAAACTAGTCCAAATGGATTTAATTTAATATCTTCCCTGTCCTTGGCTGTGCATCCTGTAGGTTTTGAGTTTGCCAATGAGTAACAGAGTCCTCAGCAAATTCTCTTGTATGACCCTGCTTAATTACTTCATTAAGCATTGCCTTATTTCTTACTTTTGTGCATTATAGATTTAGGATTTTCCCCTTCTGGTGCTTTGAATGGATTTAAAGACATTATTCCTTGACTTTCAGTCAAGAAAGGCAATGTTCTGAGGCCAAGACTGAACCCCTAGAATAACTTTAAACAGTGGGAAAGGGGTTCTTCAGCCAGCAACATGGACTTAAGCCAGAGCTGAAAATCACTTTTACATTTGTAATACCAGTTGTGAAATTCACATTTTCACAAGTCTTAATATCTCAGTGAAATAATCTTGAAGTTAGTTTAGAAATACTTAAGAACTTATTGTTCAGATTTACCTCCAAAATCTTATCTCTGACTCCCAAAATGGAGATTTCACATTGCCTTCTTTGTCACCATCAACTCGAATTCACAGGGAATGGCTTCCCTGCACCTCCCTTCCAGGCTCCAGGCTACAAGAGCACAGCAAAGTTCTCTGCTTTCTAAGGGATGCAGGACAGAGCCAGCATCTTCCCCTTGTAGACCTTGGATCTGCTCGTCATTTCTCACAAAAATTGTCTCACCTACAATTTTTTCCTTGGGAATTCCTCTCCTGGGTAGAATCTTAAATGACATAATTTTATTCCAAACACTTCAGAAGCCTTAGTGCAAAAAGATGCCCAGCTATATGGATTAGATGCAATCAGTGGTCAGAGAGCAATTTAGTAAATATTTGGACCATCTGCTGTGAGGAAGGCCCCATAGAGCACAGAAGAGTCAGACATAAATTCTGCTTCAAAGTGCTTACAGCCCAGAAGGGGCCCCTAATCACTCCTGCGTAATCGGCCCCATTAACAATATTGACATCACTATGTGGGAGTGGGTATCTGGGAGGATTGAAGGAAATAAATTACACTTTCTTCTCTCTCCCACTGCTGTGTAAGTGGGGCTAATTTATATGAATCCAGGGGACAGAGGGGAGAACATTTAGTTTCTTATCCTGGAACACAGAAAATGAGCTTAGAGGACTGAAATGGACTGTGGAGGACCCAGGGCTCAGAGAGGCTGGGACTCCTCTGCAGAAACTCCTAGAAAGCCGCTACTGGACAGAATGAAATGTCTGGGTGGCCTGGTTCCATTGTCTGATCGATGTAAATGAATTTAAAGTTACAATGAGCTGTCTATGAATGGTGCTGCCTTTATTTGTTTTGCAGACTAATCCAAGCCACAGCAGCCACATACTTACTGCAAAGCCTTGGTAAATCCCTGAATTCTGTGATTCTCCTCCTGCATAGCAAGAAGAGTGACGGGGGCAATTCCTGTTCCCACACCACAGGCAGCTTCATGATAGCTTTGAGAAGTGGACTGGGCAAAGCCTTCTTCCTTTCCTCAGTGCATTCATTTGACTTGGCTTATCCCTACAGCACCCTAGCACACACTGCTGGCTGTTGAGCAGAACACAGCATGAGGGATTAACCTGTCTGCCTCCTCCCTTCTTTCTAACATCTCAATTTCAGAGATAGGAAGAGGCACATACTGGATTTTCATGGCAAACCCACTATAGGTCAACAATCCTAAATTCCTTCTTTTCTTCTTTTTCCTTCAATTTTCTGGTTTCTTGTTCCTTCAACACTAGTAAACCAGTAATTATAGGCATACTATGAATTTTCCATTGTACCCTTCTTCTGAGAAATTCCAAAATTTTCACTTCTGCTAGGCCCCAAGCCAGGTCTTCAGTATTACAAAGTTACATTGAAAAGACCCCTAACACTATCAGTTGGTACTGAATTGGTAATATATTGTCAACCTAAAAAAGAGAATAATTCAATTTACAGAGCATTATCACAGCTGGCTCATTTACTTGGAATAAAAATATTCATGATCCAATTTGTCTTTAAAAGTGAGGCAAAGAGAGGGCAAGCATTATTAGACACATTTTATAAGTGGGAAACTGAGAACACAGGGAGACTATTGGAATTGTTCAAGGCTATACCAGAAATACGTGGCAAAACCAGGACAGAGCCCAGATGGATGGTTCCCAAATGTTAGTCATCCAAGACTTCTTTAATTACACCTGTCACTGTCATAGATCTAATCTTTGAGTTAGTTTTGTCTTCCTCCCAAAGGACCCTACATACATGAATTATTAACCCACGTGTCTGTCTTTGACTAATGAATGTCACATAAACTTACCGACCAGTGCTTTCTCATGAGGACAACCACTATTAAACCATGTTATTACGAATCCAGGCAGCAATCTTGAAAAGCGATAGTTCATTTTGCCTAAGCAGCCTTTTCTTCCCTCTGGGCAAACATACCACTTTTCTTCAGGTTTTTGAAATACTAAAAATCACTCCTAGAAATCATTACTCCCATTTTCAACTCCCAAGGACCCTACATTAGGACCCATGAGCCTTATAAACTCTGGAGCAGCTCTCAGACTTATGCCTCAGAGTCAGCTGGAGGGCTTGTCAGAACACAGACCCAGAGTCCCACAGCTGGATTGGATTCTGTAGATCTGGGGTGGGACCCAAGAATTGGCACTTTTGACAGGTGTCTAGGTGATGCTGAAGATGCTGGTCTGGGAGCCACACTTTGAGCACCACTGCTCCAGCTCCTGTCCCAGAACACTGGTACTTTGATTCTGACTCTTGACCCTGATCAGAAATACCAAGGGAGCCCTCCAAGCCTTGGAGTTCTCACCCTCCAAGCCTGGGGCAAGCCACCGGTGAGAAGAGGTGAGCTCTGCTTCAGCCACAGCCCTGCTCTGCTATCAGAGCTGCCATTGACGCCAGGCCCCCACCCTGTGCTGGCCCCTCTCCTTACTTGTTTACAGTGCCCTGTGATCTATTTCCTTTTTTTTCTGGGATTCTGATGAAGATGTGAGGTTAGAGTGCAGAGTTGGGCTGCAGGAGGCCTCTTCGCACCTGGGGATCTTTACCTGGGTTCTATGAAAGCAAATGTTTGTACACACAGCTGACCCAAGTTAGCTGGAGCTGCAGGCACCTAAATGGCGGGGCCGAGTAACTAAACTCTGAGATGAGAATGTGAGTTCCCTTGGGAGAAGCGATTAGTCTCTCTCCGGGGGAATGAGTTAGATGTGTGGCTGACTGGACTGACAACCATATTTTAATTTGAAATCACATCGACTTATCTTTTTTAATTTAGAAATTCAAATTCTTTTTCAATGTTAAATGTCAATGTCCCTTAAATACAAAATCTTGCCATTTGATACCCTCAGGACTGGCAGCAGAAGAGGGTACCCTTTATGTGTTTTCCAAAAAGTGAACTTGGGTGGCTGCCTCACGGCTGGTGCTGGCCCTCAGGGGAAGTGGCTAAACCCATGTTCTCCAGAGTCACAGAAAACACTGATGTCTGTGGCAGGGCCTGGCAGGGTAGTTTTCCACAGAGTAACCTCCAGCCCGTGCCCCGTATAACATCCCTTGACCTCTGAGGAGAACAGCATGTGGTAAAATGCAGTGCATTGACCTCTTTGGCTTTCTTCCCAAGTCCTTGCTAAATGGACATAGCTTCTCCACCCTGTGTTTTCTAGAAGGTTCCAGAAGACCTTTGTGCTCCTGGGATCAGAGAAACAGACTGTATGAGTCATTTCACAGTGGAGTTATTAACACCAAGAAGTGATGAATTATAGCTCGACAAGCTAAGATACAGGAAATGCAATGTTTCTTAGAACAATTAATAAACTGTGCTAAAAAGAATTGAAGAACCTCAGGGACAAGAGACCCAGATAAATGCCACCCAAGTTTTAAGCCCAATTAAAACCATTTGAGTTTGAAATGTAAGAGATATCTCAAGATACATACTGTGCCCTTAGGGGTTGCTTCTTAAGGAAAAGGATGTGTTATTCTTCTTAACCACCTAATCAGGCCTCACTAATATCACTTCCTTTTCTGGACTATAAGTGATTAAACTACACCAGTATATAATATTTACTGAGATGAACACCAGCGTGTGGGACACAGGTGAAGACCTATCTGTTCAGCTTGTACAGACCCACCAGGGTCCACTGGACTTCAAGCAGATGTGTAGGATCTGGTTGCCTAGGGAAACAGGAGATGCTTTTAGAACTCGATCAATATAAATTGCAACTGTGATCAAATGCAGGAAAAGGCAAGCCTCCTTACTAAGGATGGGGCTAGACCCAAATCAAAGAAAATGCACAAACATCACAATAGAATTGCACATGTCTCCATATGATTTCTTGGAATCACTGAGTGAGAACAAAAGGAGAGAGGGAGAGGGGCCTTTTGAAATGACAGGTTTTACAAAGAAGTGCATAGTAAGAGTAAAAGTAGCCAAGAGAAACTGTTGTTAGATCTACAGAAAATGTGATATTCAATCAACACATTTATTTTTTTTCCTATGTGAAGGGAAGCCTCTTCATCTCCTCAAAGTAGTAGAAGGGGCTTGTCCCATATACTTGGCACAAGGCAGCCAGCTGGGACTATTTGGCATGCTCCTCTGGATAACATTGTTAATGCTGGAATGAAGCAGTGAGAGTTAGGGACAGCATGCTTAGCACCTTCCCAAGCAGTGTCCTCAAGAGAGGATAGCATAGTCTGGACTACGAAGGACTTGACTTAATGTCTTTTGAAAACTGCTCACATCTAGCATGATCTTAAGGACTGAATGAAGCACAGATACACACATAAATGCACACACACAGCCCCAAGCACCAATTTGGCCAGAAACCAAGTTTTTTATTCTGGCCAAAATTTGGAAGAATATTTCATTGCCTACAGCTTAAAAGTGGACACCTGTTGGAGTAATATTAGAACTGTGGGTCACATGACTCATCCACTTGTTCAGACTTGCACAGAAAAATATTCAGTGCAATTCTATAATCTCTGATCAACCTCGTCACTTGTAATGAAAAGTGATTGTTTGTGGCTCCTGATTGAGACTGTTGCAAGGGATCAAAAAGCCTAAGGAAGAAATGCAGAATTTTGCTGAATGAGTCTACTTCTGTGCTAAGTCCAAAGAATTTATTAAATCCTGGTGGTGAGGAGTTGGGGTGTGGTAGGAGAAACAGGAAGTAGTGGGAAGAATGGAGGCTGGCATTCGGTCGAGGTTGTAAACGGCTGCTGTGTGCAATGACTGACCAATGCCTGTGTCTACTGGTTGTTAATATCTTGGACACACACCTTGAAAGAAGTCAGGTTGTCAGAGCAAGTAGGCTGCTAGCCCTACCTGTGTGACCCTGGGCAAGGCAACCAATTTTCTTGGGCCACAGTTTCCCCTTTCTGTTCAGGGTTGGAGTTGTATTTCATTATCTACAAGGTCCCTTCCAGCCCTCAAAGTCTGATTCTGTGCTTCTCACTCAGCACTCTTAGTTGCACGTTCCTACCAAGCAGCCACATGCCCCATCCAAGGGACAAGTCCCTTCTTACAATATGGGACCCCTATCCACAGAGTGTGTTACTGATCCCAAGTCTCCCCTTCCCCTCAAACTAGAGCATTGCTTCTGCCCCCAGTTTCCCATAGACCTGTGTTTCCTCAGGAACTTGGAATGCCCTGTCGCCTCTTCCTGTCACACCTGCCTCTGTTGCTCCTCCTCTTTTAGGCCTAAAGTCCACCTTCCTCTGTGTCCTGTGGCTTTAGGGAAACTGGTGTCCTCCAGGCCTTTCCTCTTCAATTGCTTGTGGCCTAATAAAGGCGACCACGTTCATACTGTGCACAGCTCAGCCAGCGCACCAGCAAATGCTACAATGCTGCCCAGACCTCTGGGGCCAGCTCTGCTCACATCTTTGTCTTTCTGTTTCAGCACTGAAAAGTCCAACTGTATTCCATGAGCAAAGAAAACATTTGGATAGTAACAAGGTAATTTTCTGCAAACTGCCCTCTTACTGAACTTAGACTCTGGGGTATAGGTCCCTCAATGCTAAGCTTTGGCTAAAGCCAGTAGAATTCTAGAGGAAGCTCAACCAGTTTGCCAGTTCCCTACTGGCAAAAAGTCTATGGGCAGCCCATAATTGCCCTACAAAATCTTACTCCTATAAAATGAAAGCTGTGGAAATGCGGTCAACTATATTAGCTTTAAAAATGTTATTTTTTAGCTTAAAAATGTCCCCAATCTTTCTGATGTTGGGGAGATCACTGCAAGGATGCAGTAGAAGTCAAAGGGCATCGTCCCACAGGGAAAAAGTTTGCTGGTTCAGTTCCTGGTCGGGGCACATGATGGGGTTGTGGGTTTGGGCCTCAGAGACAACCAATCAATTTTTCTCTCTCACATCCATGTGTGTGTCTCTCTCTTTCTCCCTCCCTTCCCTTCTCTCTAAAAATAAATAAATAAATTCTTTTTAAAAAAGAGGGCAAAGAAATTTTAAATAGGGAAGTAAAATTGGCTTGCAAGGTGCTTTGCCTTTTATTACAGTCCTTTCTCAGCAACAAGCAGATTTTTAAATGCAGTTCAGAGCTAAGGTAGAGCTTGTGGATACAGACCTTATTTGCAGTTACTTAAGGCAAAAGGCATTGAGTTTATTTCTCTTTCTGTTTCTGGGAGAGGGTTGGCATTTGACAGGGAGATGAACATATATTCTGCACCTTCATAGCAAATCTCTGCCACCTGAACATCTCAATAATATAAATACTGTTGAGCAAGCACCCGCACTATAAATGGGAAGGAGATGCAAAGCCGGTGTCTTTCTCCCGGGATTCCTTTGTCTAAGAGCTCTAGCCTTGCAACTAATCTGAGTGGAGGAAGAAACAGAGCTCTGTAACTCTTCAAAGTGCTCACTCATGAGAGGCTGTGGTTCCTACTACCTGGAGGATAACTGCATTTGTTTGTTTATTTGTTTAATCAGAACTTGAGTGACCCCCAGGCTCTTCTCAGGGGCCAAATCAGAGAGCCAGCATAGTGGGATGAAAACCCGGAAGTGGAAATCAGGGGCCTGAGGGGCAGTGTGGACCTGCTGCAGCCCACCTCATCCCCACAGGCAGCTCTGTGACCAGGAAGGGATGAGACTGTCTACAGCCTGTTTCTAAGTATCTTTCAAACTGAGAACAGGTTAGAAAGACACTTCCAACCTGGTGGAACCTTCCAACCAGGTTGAATCTGCAGGGTTTACATTTTTACTGAAGAAAGGAGTCAGGTGAATAATAGGAGGAGGGTGTATGCTGTCATGTTGTTCCAGATGGACTCGGGTTACAGGTCACTTCTAATCCTAATTAATGTTGTGGCCATTTTAAGAGGCAATGGGATAGGGTTAACAATAATACAAGCAGCTTGGTGCCATCACGGTTTCATTAATATTTTACTAACATGTACCTACCTGGCCTTTGACTTTGTAGAACTGATGTGGACCCAAGCTTTTTACCTCTTTATCTTATCTCTCCGTCCTAAAGCTATTAAAGAAACTTTTGTAAGTGTATCTGCATGATATCATAGGAGACCAGGGATATTTCCATGTTCCATTTGCCATAAAAAGCATACCCTCCCCTTTGAGAAAGTCGGATTTCTCTTAAAATTGAAACTAGGTGACTCAGTTACATGTGGTCGATAAAAGAATTCACGCTCTGCTTGCACCTGCAGGCTGAAGACACTCTGAAGCGCAAGGCCAGAAACAGGTCCAGTGGTGCTGGCTTGGTTACTATGCACATACTCCAGGGTAAGTCTGCAGGAAATCATAAACCAGGGCACCCCCCAAATGGCGGGCCATTTGCAAGAGTTGTTTGTCTCTGTACAGTGGCTAAGTCCTCTTAGAAAATGTGCTCTGCCATTAGAAATGGGTGATTTTGAACAGCCACCTAGTCATTCTGGGTCATTTAGACAACCAATGTGGAAAGCCATACAATGGCTATAAAGGTATCAGACTTGGGTTTCAATCTTAGCTATGCCACTTCCTAACTCTCTCCAAGCACATAGTGAATGTCCAACATACAGCAAATTCCTTTAAAATGTGCCCCTCCTTGAGCCCAGTAATAAATTTCTAGTACAGGCCTACCTCAGAGATATTTCGGGTTCTTTTCCAGACCACCACAATAAAGCAAGTATCACAATAAAGTGAGTAGTAATCTCTTCAGTGGTGGAAGGTCTTGCATTCAATTTGTAAAAATCACATCTGTGATGTGCAGTAAAGCAAAGAATGGTAAAACAAGATCTGCCTGTATTTTATCCAAAGAAAATAATCGGACATGCAAAGATTTATGTACAGTGATGTCCATTATGAAATAACTTTAGGAACTGAAACATTGCAAATAGTGAAATCTCCAACAATAAAGGATGGGCTAAGTAAATTATGCATCAGTCATATAATTAAATACCTTGCAGCCACTACAAATAAGGCTTTAAAAGAATAATTATTTCATGACAAAATGTTCACAAGATGATGTTTAGTGAAAAAAACCCAGAAAACAAAACTATATTTGCGATCAAATTCAGGGAAGAAAACCCATACACATAAACTGTATTTGCAGTCAAATTCTGTGATGAAAAGATATAGTCCTAGCAATATGTGTGTGTGTGTATGTGTGTGTGTGTGTGTGTGTAATTAAGAAAGACACCCACTTATGATTCTCAGTAAGTTGTTTCCTGGTGCTTCTGTCTCACATGAAGTGCTTTGCAGATACAGCTTCTTAAATAAGTCTGGCCTGTTGCAACAGTCAGTTGTCCCAAGGCTGCTGCTATATGGAGATTTCTAGATCAGACACTAGGCCTGTGTTAATAGGATGAAAGTAACAGAACAATGGGGTTAAGAGGCTTGTCTGTAAATACCTCACTTTCTAAATTTGCAATGTTGAGAGTTAAGCCGCAAATTCTATAATTCTGCATCATAGCAACACCTGGTTGACTAGCTCCTCCTCCGTTCGTCCACAGGAGTGAGTCAGGGCCTAAGTGGCAGAGGAACACAGATGTGGTCTAAGGCTCTGTCAGCAGCCTTTCTCACCCACCAAAGGATCATCACCTGCTTGTTGGATAAATTCAATTTTTAAAATGCCTTGGTTTAATTAAATAACTTTTTCAAAGGAATTTTTTTCTTTTACAACTGACCTGGATATTTGAATCAGCATCACATTGGCAAGTACAAAAGCCTGAAGAAATCATACTACTTCAACTAATTATAACAACAGATAGTATTTACTGCAGGCTCAGCCTGCACCTGGGAACCTATAGACAGGGTTCCAAATGTCGTAGCTTAGGGTCAGCAAGCACTACAGTCCCCAGGGACTGCTTGCTTACAGAATCACCAAATCGCACATTTCCTCAAAAATCCTCACAAAGCAAGTTTCTCTAACTTTTCTTTGTGCCTGATTTGCTATTTGACTTTATTTGGAAGTGTCTAGTCTTAGCTGTTAATCCATGTGAATTGATGATAATTGTGTTGAAAAATTATTAGGATGGTAGAGCACAGTGTGACATATGATTTTGGTTACAAAAGCAAAAACAATAAAATAAAAATACCACATTCTACAGCTGATCCTTTTACTGCCAACCCCTCAGCCTCCACTACAGAGAGGTCCATTCCAACTGCTCAGATGAAGCTGAAGAGAGCCCGACTTGCAGATGATCTCAATGAAAAAATTGCCCTCCGTCCAGGGCCGCTGGAGCTGGTGGAGAAGAACATTCTCCCTGTTGATTCTACTGTGAAAGAAGCCATAAAAGGTAGGCGAACACATGGCATGCTTCCCTCTGTGCCCTGAGATGTGGGGCAGCCATGGCTCAGATGTGCTTGGGCCCTGGGGCTGCAGGCCTCTGCCCGGACAAGATTCATGCCATGAGTTACTGTCCCAGAATGTTCCCATAACCAGAGGTCCTGGGAGTGAGGACAAATTCCCACCCACTCACCCTCCGAGGGTAGGTAAACATAGATGAATTTTGTTCTAGTTAAGTAGGTTAAGAACCCGACTTGGTATAAACCTCAAAATATGTGCTCTATAAGCATCCATCACTTAGGGGACATGGCTCTCACGAGCCTTCCTCTTGTACAGGGGAGTGGACCACAGAGTAGAAACAGCCAAAACTTGATGAGAAGGCCTGAGCTCTAAGCCCGGCTTGCCTGCGGTGTGTTGGGGTTTCCCCAAGTTAGTTCACCTCTCTCAGAAACCTGCATCACTAAGCCTGCCCAACTCCTAGACTCTGGGAGCAAAGTTCAGGCTCTGTAACTTTGTGAAAACTCTTTGACAACCCTCATATGTATTAAAAAGGAGTACAAATACCTAAACAAGAGACACAAACATTAATTCTGTTACAAACTGTATAAAATCATCTTGTAGACTTTTTGAACAATTGAGAACAAATGGACCCAAACAACCTGAGCATACTGAATCTACTCATAGAAGTGTTGGTTGGGGTGAAACTGGGAAAATATGGTAGAAGGAAGAAAGAAGAGCTTCACATTCCCATAGACAAACTTATTTTCTTCCAGTTATGCCCATAAAGAGTTCTAAGGATTATGTATTTAACAAGCAATGAACATTTAAATGTTTCAACATGTTTTGAAAAAGTAGTCATACCTTCATACTCACTGGCTTCAGAACCCACCAAACACTGACCTCATCACATTTTGATGAGAAAAAAATGTTCCAGCACTTGGTGCTTGATCGGGAGTAGTCACACTTGCTTGAACTTGTATGAGTCACAGAGCTGCCCTGCAAGAGAAAATTCTTCATTGCTCAGTACTTGTTGGTTTTGGCACTCATCATGAGTCCCAGAACAAACTAAAGATGAGTACCAAGGTACCACTGTATACATAAAGATGTTTTTATCAAACACTAAGTTTATTATCAAACTTACCATTAAGTGTATTATCCACATTCTAAAATCTTGCTCTCAACCAACCATTCAAAGGCCACATGAATTTTATATTTAGAAGTTGTAAATATGAAAATATCAACTCTAGGAGAGACAATATGCTAACCTGTCAGTGCCTGTAAATATGCCATTGTGATTTGCCATCTGCTACACTCTTTCCCTTCACACTAATTATCCTGTGCCTTTGAATTAGGACTAGCCCACTCAACCACACACTACCTCCTCCACCTTTACTCTGATAAGGTCCAGGACAAGGAAAGCTCTCCATCGGGCATCTCTCATCATTTCTTTGAACATTCTATTCCATGTATGTAAATTTATTATTGATTTTTGTGTGATAGGCAAAAGACCTCATTTTAATTTGTATTCTTTGGTTTATGGTGAGATTATATTTTTCCACATGATTTCGTGTCATTGCTAATTCATGGCTACTCCTTTTCTTCCTACTGAGCATCTTCTTCCTTTACTGCTTTGTCCAAGCTATTTATATAAGAAAAAAAAACTAATCCTCCATCTGCCTTAGGTATTGCACATTCTTTTACTAGTTTGTCCTTGGTCTGTGTGGGTGTGTATGTAGAGTATATTTTACCTATAGCAGTTTTTAATTTCTGTGTAGTTAAACCTATTAGTCTTTTTCCTTATGGTTTCTGAATTTAGTTATTGAAAACATTTTTAGCTAGAGAATATAGTTATTTCTCCTATATGGTCTTCTAACATTTTATATACTATTTTCATAATTCAATCTTTAGTGCACATGATATTTTTTTAAGTACATAGTTTTAAGAGAAATACCTAGTTTTAAAATTATACAGTTTTGTTGATATTTTACAATTTTTTTAATATCCATCTTCATGAGTTTCTTTACATTGGCCTGATCTTTCTAGCATTTCCTGTCTACTCTCACAGGTATGTGCTGGGTAAAATTTAAAATCAGTTTATCACATGTCAATTTCAGTCTTATTAGAATTTTCTTTGGGATTGCAGTGAATTTACAGGTTAATTTATAGTGGACTCATATGTTTAAAATATATTAATTCTGAGGCCAAAATATAGTATCACTCTCTCTACCTATGCAAGTCTTTAATTTCCTAAATAGGTTTTTTAAAGTCAAGTCAATTACTGCTGACATATGGAAAACCTATTGATGTTGCACATTTATTCTGTAACTTTGCAGATTCTCTTAATAATTTCAGTAGTTTCTCAGTTTACCTCAGATTATGTAGGAACACAATCATACAGTCTGCAAACAATGAAAATCTGCCTCCTGCTGTGGGTTTTTCTGCCTTGATGCACTGGTTGATACTTGACAAGTGACATTATAATTTTTTTAATAGAATGTATAGTTAATATATATTTTTAAGTTATATGCAGAATATTTATACATAAATTACATACAATTTTTTGTTTATAAATTATATATCATATACTTATTTATAAATTATATGAATTTTGCTAAATTTTAAAAATTATGAAGTATAACATACTATATTATACAAATCAAGTTAAATATGTTTATGTATAAAATATTGACATTATATGTAGATGCATATAATATGTAAATTATATGTATGAATATGAAGCACATATAATTCATATTACCTTATATTGTGCAAAAATATTATACAAGTTAATAGTTATTAGTACAGCACATGGTGGAAAATTATTAGTATTGCTGCATTGCTGGTGCTTCAAAAGCAGCCTGACATTGTTACATGTATGGTACATCTTTGTTATGTTATTGATGATGATATTGGTTTGGTTTGGTTTCTATCATGAATGGGAATTTCTCTAGTCATTCACTTCCATATGTGACATTAGTTGTTGGTATAAGTAGATATTCTGAGGAAATATTTCTCTGCTCTGTTCCACTAGGAGTAGTTTATAATATGGAGACTGTTTTTAAATGTTTTTGACATGCATGAAAAGATCACATGGGTTTTCTTTTTCAACTTAGTAATGTGCGATTGCTATCTTTATTGATCACCTTGCATGTCTGGGGAGAAAGATCTTACAAAGATTCATTTTTTAAAAAGATTTTATTAATTTATTTTTAGAGAGGGGAAGGGAGGGAGAAAGAGAGGAAGAGAAACATCAATGTGTGTTTGCCACTTGAGTGACCCCTACTGGAGACCTGACCTGCAATCCTGGCATGTGCCGTAACTAGGAATCGAACTGGCGACCCTTTGGTTCATAGTCCAACGTTCAAACCTCTGAGCCACACCAGCCAGGGCAGATTCTTTTTTCTAGAAGTTGCTAGTATTTTATTTGAGATTTTGCATCTCTTGTAACATTAGTTGGAATAATGGTAGCTGCTAAACAAACCATGAAATCTTGGCAGCTTAACAACAGAAGTATATCTTATTTATAAACAACCCAGAGGGTTTCTCAATGGCAAATTTTTGAGGCACCATGGGCTCCTTTAGTCTTACTGCCCACCAGCCCCTAGAGCAGGGTGGCAAACTTCCTCTAGAAGGGCCAGATAGTAAATAAGCTAAGCCATCTCAGCTGTTTGTCACAACTACTCAGCTCAGTTTCTATAGCATAAAAGGAGCTGTAGCAGTAAGTAAAAACATGAGCAAAGCTATGTTCTAATAAATCTTTATTTATAAAAACAGAGTAGGGTCACAGGCCACGATGTGCCAACCTGTGCCCTAGAGCTATATTATCCTTTGAGGGGAAGGGGAAAGAAAGAATGAAAAGGACTGCATACATATTTGAAAAGCTGCAACCTGGAAATGAACACATCACTTCCACTCACATTCCATGGTGCAAATACTACAAATAGTACATACGGCTGGGAACATTCTTTTCTGTATGAAAAGAGATTTCCCAGCAATGTGTCCATGCTGTGGCCAGGGGAACATAAATTTTGATGAACAGCTAATCCTCTCTACTACAATGTTCCCAAATAATATTGGACTATATTATTGCTGTTTTCTATTTCTCAGGTTTAAATGTCAAAGCTACATGTGCTTCACAAAGTGTTATAATTACCTTTACATATTTTTTCATGTTTCGGAAATACTTAAATATGATCACAATGATTAGTTGCTTGGAAACATTGCCTATTAAAATCATTGGGGCTCAGTACTTTTCTTAGGAGCAGGTCTTTGATAGCTTTCCTTCAGTTTTGTTCATAGTTCTCTGTGTAATAGGTTGGGGGAATGGAGGATGTATAAAAAGAGGGCTAAAATAAAGTTCTCGTGCAGTATTTGGGACAGAGGCAGGGTTTCTGTGAAGAACAGAGAGGAATGGCTACTGAGAGAGGTGGAGGATGTAGGCTGACCCAATCCAAGGAGTTGAGTAGTGGGCTCTAGTAACGGAGAACTGAGCACCTGTTGTCAACCAGAGCACCAGCCTCTTTACTGGTAATCTTTCAAAGTGCATGAGTTTTTGAGGGCAAAGTGATATCATCATACAGAATGTCATGAAGGCAGGAGTTGCTGAGAGGCCAGCTGCAGAGATAGGACTTTGTGTAGCCTTTCCCATGGCGATGAGGGTCCAACCACCTTCCTGTCACTTCTTGTCATCAGATCACTTCCCCCGATGAAGCAGTGACTCAGGCTGAGGTTTACTGTGTATCACTCTCCTGGTGTCTATCTATTTCCCCCCTCCCTCTATCCACATGCCTTTCCAGATGTGTTTGCATTCTCCAGCTCTCTCTGCAGCTGTGTTTCTGTGTTTCTGCCAAGCTCTCAGCAGAATGCTTAGTCACTGTCTTGCTCCCTCCAGATTTTAATAAAGGCCAACTATTCTCCAGTCCTAAGATAAAAAAAAAATATATAGAACTTCTCCCAACACAGAGGAGGATAGTTTTTGACAGAGAACCAGTTGTTGCCCTGGCAGTTATT